TACCTGGTCAGTGCATCTGAGTTGAGAGTGCTGTCCAGAGCAGTCACAATGAAAGTAGCAGAAGGATTTTTAGTAACTAGAAATAAACCTGAACTGATAAATTAGGAGTTGGGTCTCAACTTTCCCAAAGTTTGGGAGTATTCAGTTGTGTGGTTTTATATAGGCCTGGTAATAAACAATAAAACATTTCATTTAACCTTGCTGTAATTAAATCATAGTTTTAAAAACTGCTTCTTTAATTTCCATGCCTGTGACTCTTAAAAGGGTACCAGAGACCTGTGGTTTTTATGTTTACTAATTAGAACTAGTTGAAAATGGGCATATTTTTTGCTAAAAACTGTTCCCATTTTTATTAAAAAAAAAAAAGATGGAAAATTTTGGATTAGCTTTCGCTAAGAATGCCAACAACAAAATCACAATGTTTAGTTCCTCTATAAATGCAGGGTGGAGGGATAGCTCAGTGGTTTGAGCAATGGCCTGCTAAACCCAGGGTTGTGAGCTCAATCCTTGAGGGGGCCACCTAGGGATCTGGAACAAAAATCTATCTGGGGATTAGTCCTCCTCTGAGCAGCAGGTTGGACAAGATGATCTCCTGAGGTCCCTTCCAACCCTGATATTCTATCAAATTTATCATACCAATGTTCAGAGTAGAAATCTCCTATTATTTGGCTCTTTATTAGTGGAAGAGGCTTGACTTAACAGCATCTACATAGTCTCAGCTTGGTGGAGATTCAAGTAAAGATGGGAAGTGTCACTATGAGACTTCCATAACTGAGCCCTAATTAATACATTTCTTCCTTTCTCTCTTTATTAGGAAACAGCTGGAAGACTGTTGTGACCCCGGTCAGCTCTTTGCTATGACAAAACAGAACTCTCCGCTGGGAAAGAACCTCTGGTTTGATGGGGAATTTTTACATTCTGTCACTATTGACAATGCAACTTACTCCCTTTTCCCACAGGTCAGTAACTGTCTTGTTCTTTTCATTTTACCCCTCTATTTCTTCTCCAGACAATAAAACTGTACATGTTAAATCAGGCTGGCTAAAAGGCTAGTTGTAAGGAGTAATCTGTAACTTCACTTCTTCATGATAAATGTTTTCTTGTAATCCTTTTTTTTAGCCAGAGGCACTGCAAACTTCTCCCCCGCCCCCAATTGCATATACAGCAGGAAGACTAGTCATAGTTTCAAGTATCGGGGGGAGCTATAGTTTGAATTCCTCCCATGGCCACTTCTCAGTATTGCTCACCCCAAAAGTTTACAAATCATGAGGGTGATCATGAGATTAACATAAAAATTATGATATTTTAAAAAATAAATGTTTTGGATCCTTTTATTTGCCTATTGGGTTTTGAGCCCTCAGGGAACCCTCAGGTTTTATTTTCAACCGTTTCTATTTAACCATGAGGGCTAGGAACTTACATTAAATAAATAAAGGCTTAAATTCTCACATTTCCAGATGCTGGAGCTTTAAATAAAACCTCAAATATGTCAAGACTAGTGATAAAATCATGGGAGTTGCAACACTACAAAACATACAGTGAAGAATCTTAAAGTTTTCCTTGCTTATACATCATGCAGAGATTTGCCAATACTTTTGGCTTAAGCCTTTTGTTCCCCCCCATCCTCCAAAAGGACCGCTTCTGGCCTATACTATTTAGACCCAGATTCACAGCTGATGTTAACAGGAGAAGTTCCGTTAAAGTCACTGGAATTTCACCCATTTACATTATTGATGAGTTTAGTCCATAGCATTTAAATTAAAAGACCCCAAAATATATATGATGGGCTAGATTCTGATCTCAGTTACATGGGTCTAAATCTGGAGTAACACCTCAATTCTTCCAAATTCTGATGTTACTTTAGATTGTCATCAGTTTGACTGAGTATAGCAGATGGTCCACGACGTAGTTATAAAAAAAGATATTCTGGCTATTTATTTTCAAGGGCTCAATCCTGGATTCCCTAAGAAAGCAAAATTGTCATTCAGGTCTTAAGGACAGCAAGATTGGGCCCTAAACAACTAGCCAACTATCACCAGAGGCTATTATTAAGGACAATTGGAGCACAGTTTCCAGAAGAGGATAGTGGAGCATATGGGCACACACAACCCAACAATAAATAAATGAGCCATAAAAACCAGGCATTTGCACTTTCAAAGTGGGTATTTGTGCACCTACCTAACTGCTTACAAGCACATACATGGGATTTGCAAGTTTAATAGGGTTACATATATTGTGTTTTGCAGCTGCAACTTAGATTTCTGCATTTCAAAATTTGGCAACTGATTTGTATTCTCTTATGAAAAATGTATATTGATAAATTGAGTTCCAGTGTAAATGAAACCCCAGAGATCTTTCTTTCCACTTAAGTAATATTCATAGTGAAGTGCCAAAGTGTCCCGTGGTCAAATATTTTTTTTAATTGATCTCATTTTGATATGGTGAAAAATGATGGAGGAATTTACTAAACTGCTGAGTAAAATTTTCTGTGCTAAATGGTACAAAAGGGATTAACAACCCCTTTGGATCAATTAGAGTGATACATTTGGAGCTAGGGCTGTATGAACTTTCTGAGCTAAGCACGATCCAGCAGGACAACTAAATGTGCTTAATTTTATGTATGTGAGTAATCCCACTGAAGTCACTAAGACTGAAACACATGTGTAAGTACTTTCCTGGGTCGAGGCCTGTGTTGTTTGTGAGTTGAACCCTGTGATTTCATTTGCGAAAGGCTGGCCATCAACCAGTGCCTCCAAATTCTCTTAGATGTTAGCTTGACAACTCAGATCTCCAAAGGAACACCCTACTCCATTTCTCCCAGAAAACCTCTTTCCCTCCAGTTGCTCCTGATCCTGTGACCTCCTGTGTGTAATTACTTTCTTCACTGGGATCCTTTTGGGGCCACCTCCTCATTTCTGTTGGAGGTAGGGCACCCTCAGTGTATGAGGCCTTCAACCTCAGGACTTGCTGAAGAATTCTGCAAATACGTATTGAATTCTGGTTCCCCTGCTGATCCTACAGAGTCAAAGAGCCAAATTGTGTGTCACTTACCATAGTTAGTAACACCTTGCTCCACAAATAGTTCATCTGAAGTTAATGGGACTTCTTGTGGAATAAGGAGCTATTCATCCTGAATAAAGTTGATCCACAGTATCAGAATCTGGCCTTAACACACTAATGGTCACACCACAAAGCTTCTCTGTTGTGCCAGTTTTGTTTGTTTTTGGTTTGTTTTTGTTTTCTGGTGGAGAGGGATGGATTGATAGAATGGGGTGAGAAGAGAGTTTTGGTTAGGGGGTATCACAAAAGTAATTCATTTTGGGACTTTGGCCTCATCATACTGTCTATGGTTTTGTTATTGATTAGGGTGAACAGATGTCCCGATTTTATAGGGACAGTCCTGATTTTTGGGTCTTTTTCTTATATAGACTCCTATTACCCCTCCACCCCTGTCTCGATTTTTCACACTTGCTGTCTGGTCACCCTATTATTGATAAATTTTGTATTTGTAACCAGAATGGATGGGTGTATTTGAAATAGGATGAAGTTAGTAAATATAATAAGAAATGGTTAGTTTTCCCCATAAAGACTTACAGTGAAATCTTGACTGTATGGAAATCAATGGCAAAACTTCCATTGATTTAAGGGGGCCAGGATTTCACCCTCAATGCCGACTTCTACTTACCGGTTATTCACTTCTTGGCAACTCTCTTTTTTGGGACTCTACTGTTAAATTACAAAATACAAATCACAGCCCATCATGTGATTTGAAAAACGCCTATCAGGCTCCTTTGATTGATTTTTTGTTGTTGTTAGTTTGTTGTTTATTAAGATTTATTTTATTTTTGTCTGGAAAATATGTTGGGGGAAAAAAAGAAAAATACTTATTGAATTCTGAATGCCCATAGAATTTGTAACATTGATCTAAGGTTGTTACATATTTTACTGGATTAATAAACAAATTGTATTTTTTAGAGAGACAGTTTATTATATTGACTTCTGTCATTCTTTGGTGCAAAGATATTGTAAATTGCTATGGATTCAAATTAAGACATCAATACATTCCTGGATATGTCAGTTTGATTTTTAGAGATTCTCTTCAAGGCACCGATATATTCCTGGATAGGTCAGCTTGGTTTTAGACATACTCGCTTCTGTCAGTAATGGTGCAAGCGGCTTGAATGTGAACCATTTTGCATTGTTAAGCCTTCTAAGCTGTGCTGAATCTTCACAGCTTTCTTCATTTAAAAAAATGCTAATTTTGTAGCAATCACAACCACTCTTTTTTTTAACATTTTAAAAAAGATAGCCATATTGATTTTAAACATATATCTACCAGTGCTGGGCAGAGAGAGGCAATTCCCTTTTGGGGAAGATTTAGATATTTTCAGATTTGGTTCCATTACGATTCAGAATGAAAACCTAAAATTTCAAATTTCTCTGTCAAAGGGAATGGAGCCTTGCCAATGGGGCAGTCTGCCTAGTTGACAGCCCTGGAACCATGGTCCAAGGAAGCCCTTGGACCGTGGGTTGCCAAGGGTCTGTGAGTTTGGGAACTGGGCCTCCCAGCTCCCCAGAGCTGGCTACATGAGCTGCTGAGGAGCTGGGAGTCTGGAAGCCCAAGTTACTGAGGATACAGGCAGGTGAGCCAAGAGGAAACTAGGCTGATGGAAACCCTGGCATGCAGGGATCCATTGGACCCCTCCTTGGTTCTTTTGGAATTCTGCTGAAATCAAATCATTTCCACGCGACATTTTTATGAATCAGCAATTTCCAGCAAAAAATATTTCATTGGAATTTTTCTGACCAAATTTGATATCTGCCTATCAAGTCAATAGATGATTAATATGTATAGTCTCACTCAGTAAGCATACCATAAAGGGAAAGGAGGAAGAAAAACTAAAGGAAAACATAGAGGAACAAAACTCACAACTCTGGCAACATCTGTAACTTGGTTTGCTATCCCTGTGCATTTTGCCACAGAAGAATTTCATAAACCTTTATCAGATGAAACCCCACTAGTCTTAAAAGCCTAGGAAGGTTTATTTATAGTGAATTAATAAATAAAGTATTTCTCTAGCTTCATATTTCGGCAAAACCTTGGACTAAATACTTCAAAATCCTACTTTGAAGAATGACATCCATTACGAAAATTGCTTGCCAGTTGCTAGTGAGCTAAAGATGAATATTCCTTTCAGAAGTGTTCAGAAGCTTAAAAACCACTTTATAAAATATGGGTAATACTCTGAAATGCTCAGTGGATATAGCAGGAATGTAAAGGACCACAGCTATGTTGATATAATCTTAGAAATATTTCCTCCAGGATGAATAAAAACATTCCATCACCGTCCGTCTGCTGTGCTAAGCCATTCCGGGCTTGCAAAAGACTTCACTCCTCAAATCATGACCCAGTCATTGGTTTGCAGTAGGAACTAATTCACAGCCCAATTAGGGAACTTGCCATACTTGATGCAATAGAATAAACTGACTTTTAGTGATTATATGTACACAGACATACATATATAATATACATACACACACAAAATAAAATGCATAAAAATTAAGCAGTAATGGATACTGATATAAATGTAATTTAAATGCTCTCAGGCCATTGATATAAAAAGTAGTGTACTACCTAACTTGGAGAATGTTTGCTTTTCTGTAATACCTGTAGACAAACTCATCCCTAGAGCTGGTCGAAAATTTTCCAGTGACCGCTTCTGAAAATGTTGGCCTAATCTTCTTTTTTCACTATTGGCCAAGTCTGTGGCCTAAAAAGTGGGGTTGGGCTTCTGTGATGATAATGATGATGATGGCAGGAATGGGCAGGAGTCAGACCCACATAGAACAAGCAGTTGCAGAGCTGATCTTCTGAGGCTACCACGCTCCAGCCCATTAGCTGAAGTGGCCCTCTGTGTGTTTGTTCTGGGCAGGACAGAGGACCACAGCAGGTCCTATG